TTTGCAAGTTTATCAAGGTGATCTCCCAAAGAACTCCTACAGAGAGACTCAAAATACGTTAAAAATACACTATATATTTATTTAATTATTATTATTGATTGTGTTACTATGTCTTTATATAAATATATGTACATATATTAATTTATTTTCTTTAATTCAAACTGTAGACTCGATGGTTGGAGGAAAAGGTCATACGGCAAGACCAAATTAAAGCAATTCAAGAATCTATAGCCGGATTTTTAATGAGCAGGTCATCGATTCCAAGGGCGAGTTCTACTTCGACCCAACACTGCCATGGAAGCCAAGCTAGAGAATAAGAGAAAACTTGTTATATCACAACAACTGTAATGCAATCTTTTTGTAATATATGCACATGCAATAATATAATGTAAAATACACATATGCATGCATGCATGTAAATATATATATGATGCATGCATGCATATATATATATATATTTTTTTCTATGCTTGAATTGTGTGATTTAATACGTTCATTGTGCTTGAACCGAAACATACTATACGCGCGTATAAATGTATAATTAGCAGCGTACAATACGACTTCAAAAACAAAAAAATGAAAAAAAAGAAAAAAGAAAAAAACCTTTAGTCCCGGTTCGTATTACCAACCGGGACTAAAGGTGCCGGTCATCGTAGCATGTCAGGAGGCACCTTTAGTCCCGGTTGGTGTTACCCACCGGGACTAAAGGTCCTCCTTTTAGTCCTGGTTCCTGACCCGGGAGTAAAGGACCCCATTTAGTCCTGGATGCTTGCTCCCGGGTGGGGAACCAAAACTAGAGGGGGTTCCCCACCTGAAGTAAAGCTCGATTCTCTACCAGTGCTAGTACTTCAAGAAAGCCGGCATGTAAACCGTATGTGCACGTCTGTTCATTCAGCTTGTCCGGCAGCATGTATTCGGCTTATAAGACTTGGCTTATTAGTCCACGAACAGTATTTTTCTTTTATATCAAATCACTCGGCCGGGTCAATTCAGCTCAAACGAACTGGTCGAATATAAAGCTCGTCTGTTCATGAAACTTTTCGCACAATATATATATAATAATCACTCAACGTTGTTGGCTGTGCGGCCTAGCTACTCCCTCCGTCCCGTTAAGATTGTCGCTCGGGAAGCGGGATTGTGAGGGGGGCACGGTTTTCCAACGACAAACTCAATGGGACGGAGGGAGTAGCTCGTATGTTGTTTTTTCTTATCCCGAAAATTAACCTTGTAGATCTGACAGACAGACTGATCAACACTGTTGCATGCGTCATCATCTCTGGATGCCGCCTCATGAGTGTAACTATTAAATTCAGTGTACCCACGAGCTAATGTATGGAACGACGACGTCACGTTGGTTGACGGTTGAATAATATAATAATTATCCTGGTGGTGGTAGTCATACATACCACTTTTCTAGATAAAGACATGTACTACACTGCTACGTAGTATATAAGAAAAGGAAAGGACGGCTGAATGAACTGCTTGAGGCCTTGAATCGTTGCCTCGAAGTTTCAAGTTTTTTTACTCTCTTTTTATCGCATCAATTTTTGGACACATACATAGAGCATTAAATATAAGTAAAAAAAAAATAACTAATTGCATAGTTTGATTATAAATTACGAGACGAATCTTTTGAACCTAATTAGTCCATGATCGGACAAAGTTTGTCAAATACAAACGAAACGTGCTACAGTGTCCACATTACAAAAATTTGCAATCTAAACAAGGCCTTGATGGACACCCGTCAGCCATCAGGCTGATGCGCAGGAGGCATCCGGAGCGTTTGCAGTCAGATTACGTGACGGATCGATCCGGTGAACGTGTTTGGATTGTGACCGATCGTGACCCAGGCGGACGAAATCCTACGCCTGGGATGGCTTGCCTGGCTAGGCGTTGCCTGAGAGGCGAAGCGTGTTCCCCGGCTGACGGGCTGAGGCTGCAGTTGTTTTTTTTTCTTGTCCTCTGTTTTTTTATTTTTCTTTTCTCGTCTAATAAAAATTACGACAAAAGCTATGTCAAGCTAGTTGCAGTGGGAACTCGCGCGCAGAGGCACAGCTGATGCCATGGCACGGTAGGCCAGGCTAATACTTGTACGTCTCGGTCAGTATATATGTTACTATGTGGTAGCCACCGCTGGTCAAACGGACGGTCAGCGACCCATCCTCCAACCTACCAACCACCATATGCACATATAAATGCACTATGCAGCATGCATTATCCAATACTATTCCTCGGCGCATACACACGGCACACATCAGTCTTAGCTTGGCATGTCTCTACCTGGTCGATCTGGGACTGGGTGACATGCATACTAGCTCTGGCAGCAGCCAGCAGCAGCAGCAGGTTTATCATCATCAGCTAATCGATCTCATCTACCAAACAAACGGTGGTACTACCGCACTATCACGACGAATTCAGGATTAGATTGTATGTTTGTACTATAGCTCTAACTATACTCCAGCAGTAGGTACGTATGTTTATTTTTTTTTAAAACGAATAGCAGTCGTAGGTACTATTAGTTCATCGTAGCTTGCCCAACTGGAACCTAGCTAGAGCTCACCAGACACACGTCGACATTATTTCTGTCCCCATCTAGCATGAATGTTATTTGGACCATTCTTTGAGCGGTCGACGTGCGATAGATCATCGATCATATGCTCATCAGAGCTACTCCTCGCTACGCGCGCGCTGCCAGTGTCACTACTCACTAGCAAACACTGCTAGCTCCGAGTCTCTGATGAGGTCCATCCATGGCAGGCGGCCCCCAGGGAGGTCCTCATGCTCTGCGCGCGGCGATTACATGGAGGACTACGAGGCTCTACCGACCACACTAGATGGCAGAATCTTCAGCAGTGGGGGTGGGCTGGCTGCCTGGAAGCCCACTCGGCGAAACCCCATAAGGAGCCATTTTGGCCTTTTTCGGATGGGCCCGAACATCATAACAAGATGGGCCTGGAGGGGCGTTTCTCACATGGGACTCTTCCCTTTTCGGATGGGCCCAAACATCATAATAAGATGGGCCTCCAAGGCCCGTGCCTTTGTGTGGCACGGCCGCACGACTACTGTAGCACTATTGTCTAGTGGGGTCGGTGGAACATTTCAATATTCATTCATATGCGTCCTCTAGTCCTAAGAGTTTTTTTTTTTCTCGCGCCAAAGATGTGCGAGGATGTACCACCATACCTGACGGGAGAACGAGCAGGAAGCTATTTTGTGATCGATGGTCTCAGGTTCCTGGTCGCATAGGAAGCAGTGCTCGACTCTAACACCCTCGATGTTACAGCATAAATCATTTACTAAAACATGTCATGAGCATCATTTATATGTGTTAATGTATATAATAAAGAGTGTAGATCAACTTTCGTAACTCAAAACAATCAACGAAAATACGAAACGAAAGTTAATTTCATAGTCACGTTATATCGCTTAAGATTGTCTCCAACATGTGATCTATATGGGCACCCAAACCCAAAATAGGTAGCAGAAAACCCAAAATTAGTCTCCAACAAAGTACCTATACGGGAGATCCATTTTATGTTGTATGAGAGGCACAACCCAAATATGAGTATCCTCTCTCCTAAAAACCTATTTGCAGAAAGGATTTTCTTTTAGTCTTGTTATTGAAGAGGATGTCGAATAGTTATTGAACCATTTGACTATAGCGCTATCCAAACATTGAATATGTCTTGTATATTTTGGGTGTTGTCATTGGCTTTTTTTTCTCGCGCCAAGATGTACCAACATACCTGACGGGAGAACGAGCAGGAAGCTATTTTGTCTGCGCCTCCTGTCTATGGCCCAATGCCATCGTCGGACAGCGAGCCAGAGGAAGATCTTCACCTGCAGAGGTGCCCATGCACCCCAACCCCAAATGCGCTTGTAACCAGAGAGACTGAATGGAGCGCCATGTAGGCAGATCGCGAAGAATACACTCCATCCTCCGACCATCTCCAAACCAGGATGTCCTCAACATCTGTCCACTGGGCTGTTTAATTACCGGCCTAAATCATCATCACGGCGTGCCCAGCACCATGCACAAAAATTACTCTACCGATTCACGGGCGGATAATATAAGCAATCCACATGTGTGTAGTCACCTAACCTCTCCTGACACGTGTTATGTTAATACTAATTACTGTATAGTAAGTACAGGGCTTGCATTTCTCTGGCCGTCTCGATCCGTGGCCGTGGCTCATCCGGAGATCACGCGTGACGCATGCGATGCCCATGCCCTGAACACGTGCGTTTTATTACGTGGTTTGTTTCCCGTCAGGACTCGGGATCCGGAACAGAGATTTGATCCTATCGTTTCTATGGCCGGTCTCAGTGATGTTTCATGGCCTAGTTTTCAACACATTTATATTTTAAAAATAGTGTAGAAGAGTTTTATCCTCATGAAACTCTTTCTACTTTCATGAAACTTTCATCATCTCTCTCTTCATTAGTACAGTGCCATATCAGCATATTTAATGTCTATAAAACTCTATGAAACTCCCAGTGAGATTGGCCTAAGGCCACTCTCAATATACAAACCATCATAATTTCTATAGACATTAATTGTACTGTTACCTAAGCGTTTTGCTGATGTGGCAAGGTAGTTATTAAAGAGAGAGTAAAAATCATAGAAACCACGAGAACCAAGACATGAAGAGAATAAAGAGAGAATATATGTGATAGGATAAAAAATTGTTCTGTAAAAACTATCCATTGAGATCATAATTTTTATACGTAGTACCTATGAAAATTAATACGTATAGTATTTGGACTGTCCCCATCTTTTTTTTTGTGCTCATAATCCTGTCCCCATCTACCATGAATGTTTGGACCATTTTTTTTTCAGCGGTCGATCCACCAGTCGTGATCGACGTGAGCAGATCGATCAGAAACTCAGAGCTACTCCAGCGCGCCCACTCCTACGCTAGCTGCCAGCGTCACTACTACTCACTACTCACTAGCACGCTTGCAGGTCCAGAGCGAGCAAGGATCGATCAGGTCCATCCATGGCGGCCCCCAGGAAGGTCCTCATGCTCTGCGGCGACTACATGGAGGACTACGAGGCCGCCGTCCCGCTCTACGCCCTCGCCGCCCTCGGCATCACCGTCGACTGCGCCGCGCCCGGCAAGAGCCCCGGCGACTCCTGCCTCACCGCCGTCCACGACTTCCTCGGCTTCGAGGTACGTCACGTCACGTGCTACTCCTAACCAGCAGCCACCCCACCCCATCCCATCCATCGATCCTCACGCACGCACGCCGCCCGCAGCTCTACACGGAGCTCACGGGCCACCGGTTCACGATAACCGCCGACTTCGCGGCGGCGTCAGCAGACCCGTCTTGCTACGACGCGCTGGTGATCCCGGGCGGGCGGTTCACGGAGCAGCTCAGCGCGGACGCGGCCGTCGTGGACCTCGTCGCGGCGTTCGCGGCGCTGCGGAGGCCCCTGGTGCTCACGTGCCACAGCCAGCTCCTGCTAGCCTCGGCCGGCGGGCTCAGCGGCGGGGTGCGCTGCACAGCGTTCTTCAGCTTGCGGCACGTTGTGGAGATGGCGGGGGGCACGTGGGTCGACCCGGAACCCTTCGGGTTCTGCGTCGCCGACGGCCACGTGCTGTCCGCCATCGGGTGGCCCGCGCACGCCCAGATCGTCGCCAAGCTCCTCGACTCCATGGGAGAGCGCGTCGTCGTCGACGCCGGACGCGGCGGCGGCCAGCGTGTCCTCGTCCTCTGCGCCGTGAGCTGTCTAGCTAGCCCCTTTCCCTCCCCCCTCGCCGTCCTTCTTCTGGAAGTTTGCCTTGTTCGCCAGCCGCTCGTGGCGCCGCCGCTGATCTTGATTGGCCGCGTGCAGGACTACGTGGACGACTGCGAGGCGAACGTGCCGTTCCGGGCGCTAGCGGGCGTGGGCTGCCACGTCGAATCCGCGTGCCCGACCAAGCGCAAGGGCGAGTCCGTCGTCACGGCGATCTACGACGCCGCCACGCCGGCCCCGCCGGGCGCCACGGTCACGGTCAGCGAGGAGAGGCGGGGCCACAACTTCGTCGTGACAGCCGACTGGGCGGACGCCAACGCCGATGACTTCGACTGCGTCGTCGTGCCGGGCGGCCGTGCCCCCGAGCTGCTGGTGACGCACGACAGGGCCGTGGCGCTCGTGAAGGAGTTCGCGGACAAGGGCAAGGTGGTGGCCAGCATCGGCCAGGGGCACCTGCTCCTCGCCGCGGCGGGGCTGCTCAGGGGCAGGAAGTGGGCCAGCGGGGTGCCCATGAGGGTCGTCTCCAGGCTGGCTGGCGCCGAGGCCGTCGAGACCGATGGGGCGGTCGTTGATGGGGGGCTCGTGACGGCGGCGAGCTGGCCGGACCTTGCGCAGTTCGTGGCTCGCGTCCTTGGCCTCCTCGGCATCTCGGTCTCGTTCTGAATGCCCATTGCATCTCTGCCCTGCAACTCTGGGAGCACGGAACGGAACACTCTGTTCTGAACGTCCAGTTCTTATATTTCATTGTTCATTCACGAGGTCTGACAGTGGCACAGTAAGTTACATCAGTCTTTTTGTTGCGACAATAAAATGCTTCTTTCTGAATAAATCACATCATTTATCAGTTCATCACCGAATTTCATAACAGTTTATTCTGCTGCATTTTAACATCTTTCTGCATTTTTTTTCAACTCTGACGAATTTTGACATATATACTAATCCCCGCCGCCTCCACGTATGGTTCACGCCACTACTCATCATAATCATAATGCTTCTTTTCTTCATTACTCGTAAAGTTTTTCTCTTTTTACTTTGAATGAGTTAGGAGTTGGTGAAATAATTTTTTAAGCTTCACTTCACCACGTCAATACTAATTAAGCTCCTTTTCAATTTCCACCCTAAATAAACTGAGATCTGGTGAAGCCAATTTTTTTGGCTTCATGGATTACAACAACTTGTGACATTTTAAAAAGTGTTCTTTTTTGTGTCGTCATCTCCGGCTCCTTATTAACATTGTAGAAAGGAGCTAAAAGCCGCTTGAAGCCCCGCCAAACATGGCCCTCTTAATTCTCCTGTAGTTCATCCGCACATAGGTGATTTTACTCGGACTACCAATAGGACTAGGGAATGTGTTGTTCAGTAGGACTACCACTGTGGACATCTCTCCAGCATAATTCTTCCCCCCTAATGAAGAGACGGTGTTATCCAAATTGGCGCAGGCCAATTAAGCCATGGATTGCGAGATTGGACCTCACCAAGGCCACGTAGTGTCTCAGTTTTGAAGTCCCAGATGCCAATCTCCCTCAAATTGTGCTTATTGCCACACATTTCTTCGTCAAATCCATCGGTAACATAAGCAGAGTCTGGACTCAACCGTGGGAAATCCTTGGTAGAAAGGCACACCGCAGAATTATAACCAAGAAACAAAGCGTGGTCTCCAATGCTCGTCAGCTTCACGCGATCCTGTTTATCAATGCCAACCTTGTGGATGTAAGACTCTGTTATGCGAGATACCAAGCATGGATCATCAACCTCATGGGCAACCCCCACAGGAAAGCTCAACGGGAGTGGCTAACCGCTCGATTTCTTTCAACCTCCACACTTGCAAGACATCACCCGACGGTGTGAGCACAAGATCTTTGATAGGATCATCCCACGGTATCGCTAGCGGCATAATGTCCTTGGACACCGGAGAAGAAGGGTCACCCAAATCCAACGTGTTCATAGAGCCGTCGAAGCTTAGCACATAGAACAAGCCATCAATCTCGTTGTAGATTGCGTCACGATAGCCGCTGACCCATCTGAGCGTCTGGCGAATGATGTGAGTCCACCGGTCATCGCCGACGCGGGCGAAGGAGAGCTCGCCGTCCGGCCGGTGCAGGAGCAGGACGACGCAGTCTCTCCCCTTGGAAGGGCTGCAGGACATTGCCACCTTGTAGTACAGAAACAGGCGCACCTTCTGCGCCGGTTACTGCACCGGCGGCTCTTCGGGGTTGTCCCTGTCCTCGCTCTCCTCCTGGACGGAGTACACGAGGTTGCCCCCGCCGTCCAGGAAGCTCTCCACGTGGTGGAGCGTCGCGACGGGCGGCAGCGCGACCTGCGCGCCCGAGAGCGGGTTCACGAGGTGCAGGTTGGACGCCTCGTCGGCCGTGGCGAGCCAGCCGTGCGCGACCCGACCAGCGCGCGGCTGCGCAGCGGTGGGTCCGGCAGGCGGACCTTGAACGTCGCGCCGCTAGTGACGCTTAGAGCGTGGCGGCGCTGGCGTCGGCGTCGCCGCGGGCGGCGGGCCGAGTAGAGCAGGCACGGAGCCGTGTCGGTGATAGGGATGCGGACGCGGCGGACGTCGGAGTAGGCGGCGTACCAGGAGGAGCAGACGCAGCCGGCGCGGAACAGGTCTGGGATGTCCAGCGACCCCATCACCGTGGCCACCATCTCCGTTGGAAGGACCCCATCACCGGGAAAGTTAAATTTGCTCTGCAGGGCATATGCTCTCACACATGCAGCCGTGAGATGAAGAACCTCGTGATTCGTGCCACCTTTACTTCTCCAATATAAATGAATTGCGACATAAATATTCATCCTAAAAAGTCTATGTTTGCCAAACTCCTAAAAAGGTTTTAGGAGAGAAAAAGAAGTTCATCTTCAATAGTTCCTTAAAAAGAAAGAGGGCGCGCTGGTGCTGGAGTACCTCGCCGGCGGCACGCTAGCGTACGTGCTCCACGGCTCGGCGACGGGCACCGCCCCGCTGTCGTGGGCGCAGCGCATGCGCATCCTCCACGACGTGGCGTGTGCGTTGGAGCACCTGCACTACGGTGGCGGCAGCACCTCCACCGCCGTGGTGCACGGCGACGTGTCGGCGTCCAACGTGCTCCTCGACGGCGCCACCGGCGGCGGCGCGCGGCTCTGCGACCTGGGCTCCGCCTGCGAGGGCTTCTCGGCGGCGGTGGCGCCGGCGCGCGCCGCCGTGGCCGTGGGGTATGAATGAATTAATGTACTCGTACACGGTGACCCGCGTCTCCAGCGAATAGAAAATAGCAGGGGCCACCTCGCACGAGGGCACCGGCACTCGAGCTCCACCAACTCTGCACGAGCTGCCAGATCGGCGCCAAAGAAAGGCCAATCGACAACTCGTTGCCGCACGCACCAGCCCGATCGAGTTCCATTACGGCCGCCACCAGCCCACCACCTCAAGCAAGGAAGCCTAGCTAAGCGCGTCGCTTGCATGTGCATGCGCGGCGTGACGACGACGATGGGGCGGAAGCGCGCGGTGCTGGTGGGCATCAACTACCCTGGCTGGGACGACGAGCTGAAGGGCTGCTTCAACGACGTGACACGCATGCGCCGCTGCCTCGTCGAGCGCTTCGGGTTCGACGAAGCGGACATCCGCGTCCTCGCCGACGCCGACCCTTTCTTCCTCCGCACGGGCTTTGTGTCCAGCAAGTCCGACGTCTACAGCTTCGGCGTGCTCCTGCTCGAGGACATCACGGGCCTGCCAGCGGCCGGCGGCGGAGCGGCGTCCGAGATCGAGAACCTGACGGCGCAGATCCTGCCGCGCGTCAGGGCGCGTGGGGTGGCGGGGCTTGTCGACGCCAGGCTTGGAGAGGGTGGGTACGACGACGAGGAGGCTTCTGCGCGTGGCTTCGTCCGCGTAAAATTACGTGGAAGGGGGAGGAATTTTTCAAGTCTAAAAGATTAGGAGTAAATATTAGGAGTTATTGGAGAAGGTTTTTTTTTCATCTTTCTAAATAAACAAGGATTAGGAGGATGTTTAGAGAACTCTTAGATATGCTCTTATACCTTTTTAGGAGCTGTAAAACTACAAGTTTTAGGAGGAAAAAATAGAGAACTCTTGGAGATGCTCAGAGCATCTCCAAGAGTTCCCTAAATAAACCTTCTAAAAAATATATGTTTACCAACTCCTAAAAAGGTTTTAGGAGAAAAAAAGAAGTTCATCTCCAATAGTTCCTAATATTTGACTTCTAAAAAATCAAATGCTGGTCCCATTTGACGTTTTTTTTTCTACGGTCTTCTTTTTTTCCACGCGAACCTCTTCGTCGCCGCGCGTATCCACGCCGCCGCCACCTGCATCCCCTGCAGCCTTGTTCGTAGCATCAGCAACTTGCTTCACCAGATTCGCCCCAACATTCTTCGCGCTATCCTCGAACTCCAATCTCTTGGCAACAGTGACCCCATCCTTCGTGACCTTGGGACCTTTACAGAACCCCTCGATGATCACAGTGCGCCCCTGCAACACAAGCAATCAGCCCACTCAATCGAATGCGAAAGCCCAGCGGTTCCACTAGATCCACGCCGGTCGCCGCTGCATCACGCCCCGCGCCCGACCAACGCAAAGCTTCCCAGAGGCAAAGCAGGGAGCGCGAACCTTGGGGCCCATGGTGACCTTGACGGCGTCAGCGAGGTCGTTGACGCCCTGCAGCATGGCGGTGCGGGCGCCAACGCCGAAGGACACCTCCTTCGCCGTGGCCACATACCCCCGCGCCAACAGACGTGGCGGCTCCCCGCCCGCGCCCCGCGCGAGCTGCCTCCGCCGCCGCCCGGCACATGGTCCGCGAGTGTGCCTGGCTGCCTGCGGCTGCTCGTGTGCGCACTCGAATTGCTTTTGCCGCCGCCGGCCAGAAGGTGGGAAAGGCACGGGAAGAAGGACTCCGCGGGAACGGCGTCTCCGCGCGTGGCTTTGTCCGCGTAAAGTTACGCGGAAGGGGGAGAAATTTTTCAAGCCCTAAAAGATTAGGAGTTGTTGGAGAGGGTTTTTCCCGATCTTTCTAAAAAACAAGAATTAGAAAGATGTTTAGGGAACTCTCGGAGATGCTCCGCCTAACCTACCGCTGGGACCTGGACATCCATCCCCTCTGTATATGCCGGTGAGCTATGCATGCATGAGAGTGAGGTGATGAGCATAGTTCATGCTGGTCAAACGGACGGTCAGCGACTCATGCTCCAACCCTAGCAACAACCATGCATACATATCCAATAGTATTAGCATCCTCAGCCCACACGGCAACATCTTAGCTTAGATTGCGATATGGCTAGCTACCTGGTCGATCTGCGCGGCACGCTGGCAGCCGGCAGCAGGTTTATCAGCTAATCTGATCTACCAAACAAACACTATAGTTCGCGAACTGATCAGAGATCAGTTGGTTGAGATCTTGTGGTGGAATCTGTCCACCTGGGTTTAAGTCCTCGACTTGGCACGAGCGCTCGTATTTTTCTGGATTTATTCCAAGATTTATTGGCTCTATGCTTTCAGTATTAGATGACGTCCCCATCGACAGCGAGGCGCCTGTGGTTACTTCGTGAATCTCGAGATTTGTCGGCTCAGTCTTTGGAGGTGCTCGTAGGGGGTTTGCGTACCTATGTTCATAGAGGTGAGTGTGCATGCGTGTTGTGGACGTCTCCATTGTACTGTTTAATTTATAAAAACA